AAACTCCGTCTCAAAAAAAAAAAAGAATACTGAAAATATAATTTACATATAATGCACATTTTTTACAATGTAGTTTCCTTTCTAGTATTGCTATATGCTTTAGTATTTTTATTGTTTTTTTCAATTCTATATGCATGATTTACATTTGTCCACATTGATTACCTCTGTACTAACCTCCAGGAGGCTAAAACCACCCTCTAAATCCTAGATAATCCACAATTCATATGACTCTATCATATGAAAATGACATGTAGTTTAGCGATTATAAAGTTGAAAAAGAAAATGTACTAACACAGAAATTCCAGCAATTTTATGGCAATAGATAAAAATCATCCTTTCCATATTTAAATTTTCCAGTGGTCAGGTTTTTTTAATTGAAAATTTTATTATGATATTTGAAGTTTGTCCAGTCCCTCCAAGGATAACATTTTATGACTATAGTATAATATAACTAGGATATTGCTATTAATACAATCCACTGATTTTATTCAGATTTTCCCAAATTTGCTTGTACTCATGTGCATGTATGGCTGTGTGTTAGTATGCGTGTACTAAGTTTTATACACTTTTATCATCTGTGTAGGTTCATGCATCCACCACCATAGTCAAGATAGCTGAAGAGCTCCAACACTAAAAAGATCCTTTGTATTAAATAGCTGGACTTGAATCAACTATCCAAAATTTTTCCTTGTACGGTTTCTAAAAGAAGGAAAAACTCATGTACTTACCCATCTCGCTAGGGCTTCTTTGATTGTTGTTGCTTTCGCCTTTAAAAAACAAGAAAGATAAAAAAACACAAAACAAAGTTGTCTTTATTTACTTATTTATTTTTTGAGACAGTCTTGCTTTGTTGCACAGGCTGGAGTACAAAGACCCCATCTCTGCTCACCTCAACCTCTACCTCCTAGGTTTAAGCGATTCTCCTGCCTCAGCCTTCCGAGTAGCTGGAATGCAGGCACACAACACCACACCTGGCTAATTTTTTGTATTTGTCGTAGAGCCGGGGTTTCACCATGTTGGCCAGGCTGGTCTAGAACTCCTGACCTCATGATCTGCCTGCCTTGGCTTCCCAAAGTGCTGAGATTACAGGCGTGAGCCACCAGCCCCAAAATGGTCTTTATTGGTGTAATTTGTTGATTCACTTTTCATGCAATAACTATTAGCCTTGGTTTCTACCAGTAAAAGGATTAATTTCTTTCTTTGAGACTTTATATACAAAGAGGATGTTTTAATTTCTTTAAATCAGAATGATTTATTTAAGTGTCTCTGAGAAAAAATAAGAAAATCATTACGAAACACCCATACACTTCACTCCAACTTGGCTTACAAAAATATGTAGCTTTCAATACTTGATATTAAAATACATCTTATTTAATTGATTCTAAGGATCTACATCTTTCTTACATTTTAATATTGAAATTTGGATGCATTTTATAATCAGGAATAATTTACAATTGTTGTGGGCTGGTGGCAGTGGTGAAATTTTAGAAAAGTATTAACCACTTTATTTCATATCATATATTCCTTTTTATGTTTGCAAAGGATGAAGATAAAGGATAGGATAAAAATCTGTATGTCCACATACATTTAAAAGAACTCTATCAATAAGTACAAAATAAAAATTTTAAATGATAATAAAGTATTTGAAATAGTTCAATTCAAACCAATTTTTTCTTAGTAAAACATAATGTTGCACCTTATAATTAATAGCAGCTTAGATTCAATTTATTGAAAACTCTAAAGGTACCCAAAAGAAGATATCCTTAATGAATTATTTCTGGTGCTCTTTTTTTAAAAAGAACAGCAAAGAATAACAAAAGAAAGGTTTTTAAACTATGTGAACAAATGCGAACCTGAAAGAACCAATACTTCAAGATGAATCCTGAGTAGTTAACTGGGCCTAAATTTAAAACAGGGCCTAAGCTAGGCACTGTGTCTGATGCCTGTAATCTCAGCACTTTAGGAGGTCAAGGTGGGAGGATCACTTGAGGCCAGAAGTTCAATACCAGCCCAGGCAACATAGCTAGACTCCATCTCTACAAAACAAAATTTAAAAATTAGCCTGGCATGGTGGTGCACACCTGTAGTTCTAACTACTTAGGAGGCTGAGGTGGGATGATCAATTGAATCCAAAAGTTTAAGGTTACAGTGAGGAATGATTGCACCACCACATTCCAGCCTGGGCAACAGGGCAAGCCTGTCTCTGAAAAAATTAAATTAGATTAAATTGAATTAATTAGAGCCAAGCAGCCATTTGCTTACTAGAGGTCACACACATACTCTGAATTCCCCCAAAAAACACACCTCTGTTCAACTTCGGGAACCAATCAGAGCTCACCTGAATCAACCAATTGGCTGACTTGGATCAACCAATCAAGACCCAGCTGTATCAACCAACCAGAACTGAGTGAGTCTGCATCCTTCATTTACATAAACAGACCTGATTGAGAAGATGGGCAGGAACTTTTGCTATAAAACTCAAGCTCTCCCTTTGTTCTCTGGAACATACCTTCTTTCTACACCTAAGGCTGGATCTAGCCATACATAAACTGTTCAATGACATAAGGTCTCTTCCCTGCATTTTCCTTTTGAGAGGACTTTTGTTCACAAATATATACCATTATGTCTAGAAAGCAAAGACATACTAATAAATAACCCTTGGATTAAAAGAAAATCATAAAATAACAAAAGAAAAAAAAGTCAAAATTTGGGGAATGTAACACTAAGAAGAAAACTTACAGATTCAGATTTATTTGTCAGAAAATAAGAGACAGAAAACAAATGAGCGGCCGGGTGTTCCCTTTAAAATCTCAAACACATCAAGGATCACTTCTAATCACCACTATGAATTATTATTATTAATAATAATTAATATATACTTATTTTTCTTCTCCTGGCTGAGAGAAGATATTTTCAGTATGAAACCAATGAGGACCAACATTTAGAATACACGAGGAACCCCTAAAATTCAAAAACAAAAAGGGAAATGGAAAAGTTGGCAAAAATATGAACAGATAATTCACAGAAACTGAAACCCAGATGGGTAATAAGAATATCAGGAAGGCTTGGCCGGGTGTGGTGGCTCACACTTGTAATCTCAGCACTTTGGGAGGCCGAGGTGGGTGGATCACAAGATCAGGAGATTGAGACCATCCCTGCTAACATGGTGAAACTCTGTCCCTACTAAAAATACAAAAAATTTGCTGGGCATGGTGGCATGCCCCTATAGTCTCAGCTACTTGGAAGGCTGAGGCAGGAGAATCACTTGAACCTGGCAGGTGGAGGTTGCAGTGAGCCGAGATCACGCCACTGCACTCCAGCCTGGGCAACAGAGTGAGACTCCATCTCAAACAAACAAACACAGAATATCTAGAAGGCTGAGCATGGTGGCTCAAGCTTGTAATCCCAGCATTTTGGGAGGCTGAAGTGGCCACATCGCCTGAGTCCAGAAATTCAAGACCAGCATGGGCAACATGGTGAAACCTTCTCTCTATTAAAAATACAAAAAATTAGCCAGGCTCGATGGCACAGGCCTGTAGTCCCAGCTACTCACAGGGGCTAAGGTGGGAGGATCCCGGGAGGTGGAGGAGCCCTGACTGCGCCACTGCACTCCAGCCCAGGCGACAGAGTGAGATATTGTCCCAAAAAAACCACAACCAAACAAACGACAACAAATTTAACATTGAGAATCAGAAAAATGCAAAGTAAAACAATGGAACACTAAAATACATCCTCAGATTGGCAAAAGTTAGAAAGTTAGTGAGCACGTAAAGAAATGGGAACTCTTGACTGGGCGTGGTGGCTCACACCTGCAATCTCAGTATTTTGGGAGGTTGAGATGGGCAGATCACTTGAGGTCAGGAGTTTGAGAGCAGCCTGGCCAACATGGTGAAACCCTGTCTCTACCGAAAATACAAAACTTAGCTGGGTGTGGTGGCACACGTCTGTAATCCCAGCAACTCGGGAGGCTGAAGCAGAAGAATCGCTTGAGCTCTGAAGGCAGAGGCTACAGTGAGCCAAGACTGCACCACTGCACTCCAGCCTGGGCGACAGAGCAAGACTCTGTCTCAAGACAAAACAAAACGAACAAACAAGAAGAAATGGGAGCTCTCCTGCACTGCTGGAGGAAGTAAATACTGGTAAGCTATTCTGGAAAGCAGCCTGAAATGTGCCTAGGGAAATTAAGTATACATAAACCCTACTATGGTATAATCCCACTCCTGGGTGTATTTCCAAGAGAAATCTTTTGCATGGGTCCATAAAAAGGTATTTTCACAACACTATTTGTAGAAAAAGAGTTGAACCCATCTAGCTGTTTATTGGGGCAATATAAATTGGTATAAAGGTAACTAGTTTCCCTATAGATAGGAGTTCAAAAACTCAAATGCCTAAAGGTCCTCATGGACATCACTAACGGGTAATGCTGGCCAAGTAAGGGCAGAACCAGTGTAAAGAAGATAACCTCTACTCAGTCCAGACAACTGAAAGCAGGTGGGACTTGGGGAAAAGAGCTACCTTAATACCATATTTCTTCAAATTAAAAACCTCCATTAATTGTAAGTAACACCTTTATTTTATTAAGAAAGAAAAGATGCTGTCAGTTATAACATACTATATCTCAGTAATATGAAAATGTGAAAAAAATGTGTCCAATGGTGAAACATATTTATTTTTCAAGAAAAACTGGCAATCTTCATTTTAATGTGAAATATCATCATTTGAAGACATTGTCCTGAAGATCATAAGGAAAAAAAAAAAAGACACTGGAAGATAATTTTTTTTAATTTAAATACTATGTGGGCCCATATTTCTGGAAGGACCCAGGTCTGCCAGTTTCCAGACTTAGCTAGTTCTAAATACAGTCATGCGCTGCATAGCAAATTTCGGTTAACAACAGACCACATATAAGACAGTAGTCACATAAGATTGTAATACTGTATTTTTACTGTAATTTTTCTATGTTTATTTATTTGAGATAGAGTCGCGCTCTGTTATCCAGGCTGGAGTGCAGTGGTGCAATCTTGGCTCACTGCAATCTCCACCTCCTGGGTTCCAGTGATTCTCATGCTTCAGCCTCCCGAGTAGCTGGAATTACAGGCACACCACTACATCCAGGTTTGTATTTTTAGTAGAGGAGGAGTTTCACCATATTGGCCAAGCAAATCTTGAACTCCTGACCTCAGGTGATCTGCCTGCCTCGGCCTCCCAAAGTGCTGGGATTACAGATGTCTGGGATTACAGGCATGAGCCACAGCACCCTGGCTGCTTTGCTGTATTTAAATACACAAATACATTGTTTCAACTGCCTATAATATTCAGTACAGTAAAATACTGTACAAGTTTGTAGCCTAGGAGCAATAGCCTACACCATCTGGTTTTTGTAAGCATATGCTATGATGTTTGCAAGGCAAAATTACCTAATGATGTGCTTCTTAGACTGTATCCCTGTCATCATTAGATAACTTATATCTGTACTGATTCTGATTCTCTATTTGAAGATTTTCAACAATTGCCATAATACTTTCATAAATATTTAGGTCTGAGCGTTTCTGCCCCTCAATATAAACCTAGGTCCAGAACTTTTAGCTTTCCTTGGCAGTGTTTTTTAGCTAACTGCCTGTGGAACAAAGTAAGGAAAGCAGCGGGGAAACTACTTTGTAAAGAGTGGTATTTAATCATGTTGAAGGCAGGCATGACTTCCTCATCATTTCCATCTCCTGGGCTCAACTTCTGCCCAGTTATATAGCACTGGCATCACAAAAAGAAAACAAGTAATTATGCTTCTTCTTCATAAACATCTCTATCCCGTAGGACATCACAGACTTTGCTCAGTAGCTCTGGCTGGGTTTGTGGTCTTTTTCAGACAACTAGATAGAGCTACCAAGTATGTAAGCAAGAGAGTGCATACTTCAAGTAAGAATTGAGGAGCATCTCTAGGTAAAACCATTACTTCATAAAGAGCTGTGATTGGATAGACAGCTGGTAGATTTAAAACCTAAGGCAACAGCATTTCTCAGTGTGGTGGGATTCCTCCCAATTTTATAATCAATTGAGGTGTGTTGTCGAAATGCACATTCCTGAATTCATAATCTGCATTCCAACAAGCCCATACCTAGGCATACTGAAATTTGAGAATCACTGCTCTAATATATCCATCAGAGTGTGTTTTACAGTTACCGAATCATTGCACTCGTGGTGATTCAGAAGGCAACCTGGCTACATCACAGGTTATGAATACCGCTGCAATCCGTGTTTTACAGACCCTTCTGGTAACCAGCCCCTCCCTGCATCTCGACGGGGGGGAGGGGGGTCACTAAAATTACTTTTATGTAAAGGGATATCTTTATCTACACTCTCCTTCCCATCACCCTTCCCACTCCAATGCGCTCTTTTTGGAGAATGTCTTGCTCTTCGCCCTCCCTTTTCTCTTGTCAGAGTCCTTCCACCTTAACCCTTAACCCTTCCTCGGATCCACCCCAGGCCGCCCTCACCCCAGACCACCCCCGGCCGGGGCTTCTCTTTCTCGTCGGGTCCCTGACTCCACAGAGCTAGCTTCAGCTACCGGCTCCCTTCCGCTGTTTAAGGACTCCCAGACACTCAACACTCCACAGTCACCCTTTTCCACTCCCAATCTTCTCTCAGCTTTGGCTACGCGGCCCGAAAGGTACTCACCATAACGGCGGTTGCTACTGTCACTGCTCTGGTTGCTAGGGCCCGCGGGGTCAGTGCGCGTGCGCACTTCTCGGCGCTCGCCGCCGCAACCCCATCCCCAGCAGCGGTCCTTTCTCTCCGCCCTCAGGGTGGTGCGAGCGGGGCATTGTGGGACGGCGTGGCGGCTGCCGGGGTCCTCCTACCCGGCCGCTCCTGGCTGCCCTTTGGCTACTTAGGGCTCAACCGTGAAGAGTGGTCAGGACCGAAAGCAGTTTCAGCTGATCTGGAATGACATACCCGCCTAAAGTTTAAAACCTTAAAACCTTCACGTAACAACTGCCTTTCTCATAAAAGAATGTTTTGTTTTGTTTTGTTTTCTTTTTCTTCAAAAAATCAACAAAATTTATTAAGAAAACTTAAAAGGGAAAAGACAGCACAATATGACAAATGAATCATAACTATCACTACACATCTGTGTCATGAAAAAGAAAATAAGGGAATACTACAACCGACTTTACATTTATAGTTTGTCAATTTAACAGAAGAAATGAGTCAATTTCTTGAAAATGGCAAACTGTCAAAACTCAAGTAAAATGAAATCAACAATCTAAATAGTCCTACGACCATTGAATTTGTAATTTTAAAGCTCTCAAAAGCTCTCAAAGGAGATATCTCCAGGTACTGATGATTTTTAATGGAGATACATTTAAAGAATTTCTGGCAATTCCTTTCCCCTACCGATGGCCTTTCCCATCCTTTTTCAGACGGGGGAGAATAAGCAGCTTGCTGTAATTTACCTCTCCATCTCACTGAGAATACCCAGAGCCAAACGCCACCGATTTTATGTTTCTTTACCCCGGATCCTCCAGGGAGCCAGAGGCAGCTGAAAGCTCAGTTCATTTTATATCAGCAGGGTGTGTTTTAAATATCACAAGCTGTTCATTTTATATCAGTAGGGTGTCGTTTTTCCCCCACCTACCAAATTAGCTAAAAATTATAAACAATAATAATAATTCTAGAGTTGCTAGGGGAATGGAGAAATAGGGACACACAAATATGCTGCTGTTTAGAATTCATACAGCCTTTCTGGAAGGCTGTTGGCTCTTCAAAAACTTTTGTACCCTTTGTGATCCCAGCAGTTCCACTTCTAGGACTATATCCTGAAGAAATAATCAGATTAGAGCATAGAGATGTATGCTCAAAGCTTTAATAGCAAACAAACAAACAAATAAAACCTCAAATATTAACAAAAGAGAATTGGTGGCCGGTACTGGTGGCTCATGACTGTAATGCCAGCACTTTGGGAGGCTGAGGTGGGAGGACCACTTGAGGTCAGAAGTTTGAGACCAGCCTGGCCGACATGATGAAACCCCATCTCTACTAAAAATACAAAAATTAGCCAGGCGTGGTGTCACACATCTGTAGTTCCAGCTACTGGAGAGGCTGAGGCATGAGAATAGCTTGAACGCGGGAGACAGAGGCTGCAATGAGCCGAGATGGCACCACTGCACTCCAGCCTGGGTAACAAGAGCGAAACTCCATCTCAAAACAAAACAAAAAAGAGGAGAGGAGGGGGGGAGAGAGAGAGAGGGAAGAGAGAAGAGAGAAGAGAGGAGAGAGAATTGGTTAGTAGTAGAGAGCGAATTGGTTAGTAGTATTAAACATCCAATGCAATAATGTACTCCCACTAAAAAAGTGCAAATGACACATGGTGGCTCACACCTATAATCCCTGCACTTTGGGAGGCTGAGGCGGGCAGGTAGATCACCTGAGGCCAGGAGTTTGAGACCAGCCTGACCAACACGGAGAAATCCCATCTCTACTAAAAATACAAAATTAGCTGGGCGTTGTGGCACATGCCTGTAATTCCAGCTACTCAAGAGGCAGGCTGAGGTAGGAGAATTGCTTGAACCCGGGAGGTGGAGGTTGTGGTGAGCCGAGATGGTGCCATTGCGCTCCAGCCTGGGCAACAAGAGCAAAACTTCCGTCTCCAAAAAAAAAAAAAAAAAAAAAAAAGTACAAATGACTTGCTAAAAGGCATCTATTCACATGCAAAGATAGTCGTATTTTAAGTAAAAATGGAAGTTACCAAACAAAATGGTACGATTCTCTTTTAAAATTATATATAGTGGCCTGGTGCAGTTTATTCATGCCTGTAATCCCAGAACTTTGGGAGGCCAAAGCAAGAGGATCCCTTGAACCCAGGAGTTCAAGACCAGCCTGGACAACATAACAAGACCCTGGCTTTATAAAAAATGAAAATTAGCCAGACGTGGTGGTACACACCCATAGTCCCCAGCTACTGGGGAGGCTGAAGCAGGAGGAATGCTTGAGGAGTTTGCGGCTACAGTGAACTATAATTGTGCCACTGCACTCCACCCTGGGCAACAGAGCCAGACTCTGTCTCTGAAAAAAAAATTGCACATAATACACACACATATATAAACGTATATCTAAAAGGATATTATGTGGGTTTAATGTTGGCTATGGATTGAGTAGTGGCACACCAAAATTCATATGCAATAATCTGGTGACTTTCCGTTCTTTGATACTTTCTGAGAGGTCTTGGGGGCGGGGTTCCCTAAATTTTAAGCTTCAAAACCAGAAGGGTCAATTTCTGTTTATTTAAAAAAAAAAAAAACCATCTGTGGGACTATTGGATAGGTTTCAAAATCTTCGTACACTTCATATAAAGAACATTTTGAGTTCCAGATTCTCAAAGGTTAAAAATATTCACACAGAAAATAAAAGAATTATATAACTTGGGCCCTTCTTTTGTTCTTTCATATCCTACAAAATGATAAAATAGATTCCAAAATCTATTCACCAGAGAATATGTAGGTCTGCTTGCTTTTATTTCAGAGCTGGATAAAAGAAGTTGAAAGAAAGGTTAAAAGTAGTATTGAAGGCTGGGCCTGGTGGCTCATGCCTGTAATCCCAGCACTTTGGGAGGCCAAGGTGGACAGATCACCTGAGGTAGGGAATTTCAGACCAGTCTGACCAACATGCTGAAATTCCATCTCTACTAAAAATAAAAAATTAGCATGGCATGGTGGCACATGCCTGTAATCCCAGTTACTCAGGAGGCTGAGGAAGGAGAATCACTTGAACCTGGGAGGTGGAGGTTGCAATGAGCTGAGATGGCGCCATTGCACTCCAGCCTGGGCAACAAGAATGAAACTCTGTCTCAAGGGTAAAAAAAAGTATTGAAACAGTGTCCCCAAATTCAGAACATCTAGAAGACCCTTTGAAAAGAATAAGTAAAATAGTGTTAAATAATACAAAACAGCTGGGCGTAGAGTGGCTCGTGCCTGTAATCCCAGCACTTCGGGGGGCTGAGGCGGGCAGATCACTTGTGGTTGGGAGTTCAAGACCAGACTGACCAACATGGTAAAACCCCATCTCTCAAAAATAAATAAATAAATGAATAAATAATACAAAACAGAACTAAATACAATATGTTAAGAAATTTTTAATTTTTAGGACCAGGCGCAGTGGCCTATGCCTGTAATCTCAGCACTTTGGGAGACTGAAACAGGCAGATCACTTTAGGTCTGGAGTTCAAGACTAGCCTGTCTAATACGGTGAAACCCCGTCTCAACCAAAAACACAAAAATTAGCCAGGCATAGTGGCACACCCCTGTATTCCCAGCTTCTCGGGAGGCTGAGGCAGGAGAATAGCCTGAACTTGGGAGGCGGAGGTTGCAATGAGCTGAGATTGCCCCACTGCACTCTAGCATGGGCAACAGAACAAGACCCTGTCTCAAAACAAAGAAATCTTTAATTTTTTTGGCCTTAAACTCCTGAGCTCAAGCAGTCCTCTCGCTGTGGACTCCCAAAGTGCTGGGATTACAGGCCTGAACCCCTTCACCAAGGCCCATATTTTTTCTTGATATTAATACTTTGAAACTTGTACTCAATTTTAAAAACAATGTTAATTTGGGGGAAACTATTTAATATTACTACAAATTAGGGCAACAACTCTTCAACCTCTGCCAAGAAGAGCCCTCACAAACCACTTTTTTTTTTTTTAAATAGGAGTCTCACTCTATCACTCAGGCTGGAATGCAGTAGACCAGTCACAGCTCACCGCAACCTCCTAGGTTCAAGCAATCCTTCCACTTCAGCCCCCCAAGTAGCTGGGACCACACCAAGCCTGGCTAATATTTTGTATTTTCGGTAGAGACGAGGTTTTGCCATGATGCCCAGGCTGGTTTTGAACTGCTGAGCTCAAGTGATCTGCCCACCTCGGCCTCCCAAAGTGCTAGGATTACTGGTATGAGCCACCAGTAGCGGCCGGCCTGAGGCTCCACGCCCGTGAAGTCTCCGCCCAGAGCCGGGTCCCTGGCCAGGTCCACCCCCCTCACTGCTGTACGCCTTGTGGTGGGCGAGGGAGTGGAAGAGGCGGCCTCGGTGGCTGACGGCCGACACCGCAGGGCCACCCGCTCCCCCGGGCCAAGCCTTCCGCCTTCATATCCAGGCGCTCCTCGGCCAGCCCAGTCTTGGGCGTGACGGTTAAGGTCGCGGCGTTTTGGGAGAAAAGGAGCGGTGAGGATATTTGGCCTCCAGGCCTGGAGGGGGACCCAAGAGGCTCGGAGCGCGGCCGGGGCAGTCCGCCACACGGTGCCGGGACCGTTGCGGCTTTAAGCCCCGCAAGGTCTGGCGGCCTGGCGCTGGCGGCCTAGGGTTTGCGCTGAGGTGGAGGAAGGCCAGGTCTGGCAGAGCGTGGCCTCGTGGGGCAAAACCCTACAGGACCACGTGATTGGACCTGGTCTTGTCCCTGAGGCGCCACCTAGCAACAGGCTACGAGACGAGGCGACTTCGGAGGGCCCAGGGTCCTTTGAGCTCTTTGAGGCCCCATGTGGAACCGCCTGGAAGAGGCAGGATCCACTCGCGATTTTACCATGGACGTGTGGCGAGTAAGTTAAGGATTTTTAACAGAAAGTGCCAGCCCATGGCCTCCTCTGAATTCTCCCTCTGGCCACCAGGGGTCAGTATTCCCTAAACCTGATGGAAGGCCGCCAAGTGTGCTAGGCTCCTAACAAATTCCTTTCCTCCCTTTAATCTTTGTCTTGGATTAAGAAAGACTGTCAAGGTTAAAGTTTAAACGTTTCCGATGAGATACTAAACTGAACTATA